TAAAACTGGCTCCCAACTTGAGTAATAACAGAAACAGAAGTCATTTGCAGCATTTTTTTCAGCAACTTGTTTGTCTTCTCAGTGGGTATTGCCAACTCAAAGAATAAACAGTCAGATGACCAGTCTGAAAATAACGAGACCTAAAGGAACAATTGTGAGTTTTTGCAACTTCCCTCAGCAGAAGACAAACAAATAGAACAAAAAACAAATCTCAAATGTGAAGAAAAAATGTGAAATGTTTAGAAACAGCAGTAAACCGATCTGTTTATAACTAATTTTGCCTATAATAATTTCTGCCACCTGGCAGTGTCTGATTGCTCCAGTCACAGGATACTTTTGCTTTGTAGTTTCTTGTCTGCAAAACCCCAAATTTTCTTCTTTAGAGATGCTAGACACAAAAAATAATTGAATTCAAGACATGTTATCATACACCTTTTTAGTTACTGAGGCATTTGCTCACATGTCTTGAAGTGATACTGCTTGACAATAAATATCTCCTCCATGTTACTGTTGGCATTTTCTCTCTTTTTTATTTTTTAATTCTATTTTAATCATAGAATCATAGAATGCTTAAGGTTGGAAGGGACCTCTGGAGGTCATCTAGTCCAACCCCCTGCACACGCAGGGTCACCTAGAGCACGTGGCACAGGACTGTGTCCAAGCGGGTTTGAAGATCTCCAGAGAAGGAGATTCCACAACCTCTCTGGGCAGCCTGTTCCAGTGCTCTGGCACCCTCACTGGTAAGAAATTTTTCCTTAAGTTCCTGTGGAACTTTTGGTGCTTCAGTTTCTGGCCATTACCTCTAGTTCTGTCGGTGGCCACCAGTGAAAAGAGGCCAGCACCATCCTCCTCACTGCCTCCCTTGAGGTACTTCTAGACACTGCTCAGGTCCCCTCTCAGCCTTCTCTTCTCCAGGCTGAACAGGCCCAGCTCCCTCAGCCTCTCCTCATAGGGCAGATGTTCCAGGCCCCTGATCATCCTTGTAGCCCTGTGCTAGACTCTCTGCAGCAGCTCCACATCCCTCTTGTGCTGTGGAGCCCAGAACTCTGACGACAGAGCTGTGTTATTTTATAGATGTGGAAGATTCATCAGCTCCAGTAGCAGGTATATAGGTACTTAGGGTATATTGGGGAGGGCCACGGGACAGACAAAAGCAGCTGTTGTTGTTAATGTTTATTTTATAACCTGGTCAATATGAAGTTTCAGTCATTCAGGGTATATCTGTTATGGACATTAGTCTCTAATATTAGAACTACCAGTGTCTATTGCAGATTGTCATCCATTTCCCATCTTTCCTGAGGGAAAGACAGAAATACGGAAGTTGCCTTCATCCTTTGGGAGCCCGCTGGACCCAGTGGGTCTGTGCACCTAGGTCAAGAATTGGTCTCACTGCCAAGATCTCGAGGAATCCGCATTAGGAAGCGGGATGCGGGCGGAAGGTCAGTGCTGGCAATGCAGAGCAGCCACAGGCGTCCCCCTGGTCCCCTGGGGGAGCTGTGACACCGCAGGAGAGGCTCCTGCGGGAAGGAAACGCTGCTGACTTTTCTTTAGAGCTTTGGGTTTTGGTTGGCCTGGAGTGTTACAGGCTTGGCTAATGATACAAATCCATGTCAAAGAAAACGTAGCCTCGGAAGAAAAACAGAGGAGCTAAGCTATGTCTTGGACATGGTGTCATCAAAGTGAACTGCTCTCTGTGGGAGGTAGTGACCTGTGCTCTCTCAACAGTCAGAATAATTTTTTTCCTTATTTAATTTTTATTGGGTATTTTTAACATTGAGTGAGTTCATTTAATTTTACTGCTTACGGGCTGGAACGGAGCTACACGAGCCTCTGTCTATAAAACAGCAGTTCGGCCTCTCCCAGAATTCTGGTTTTTCAACTGGCTTCATCCAGGAATGCTGTTTGTAGAGTGCTTCCTCTCACCTGTGCTGTGTGTTCTCCTTAGACCTACACAGATGGAGTCTGAAGTATGTGAAGGTTCAGCCTTCCTGTGTCGTGAGAGACTTTATTATCTTTAAGAACAGGCTGGAGAAACTGCCAGGAACCCTGAGCGCCCTTCACAGATGGCAGAAACCTCAGCCCCCGCCAGTTTCCTTTTGCCTACACAAGTGGGAGCACTGTAGCAGGCCAAGCTTTGGAAATGAGTCACTGCCTGGACCTCAGGACTTTCATTCAGCAACTTCAAGAGAGGGGAAAAAAAAGAGGAGGAAACTGGAAAAGTGTTTTTTTTTTTTTTTCCTTCATCTGGGGAACAGGGAAGATTTCTATTTCTTTTTCATTAAAATGGTGATCTGGATCATCCTTTACATACCAGTGGTCTAAATAAAATTGGTATGTTGGTGATAAAACCAAGGGAAACACTCTGTGGAGTGACACAAACCCTAACCTTATCAGTGCCATATCAGAATGACAGATTCGATTTAAAGACACAAGGGCCTCAGTTAATTTTTCATTTGTTAAGCAAGAGCAGTCAGACCAAGATAAATCACCTTATTCTAGATGACAAATGTTGCTTGTTTTTATCCATGCCCAACCACAGTGCATCCTCCTAAAATACTGTGGTGAAAATACTGTGCAAGTATTGGGTTTCTTTTGTTGTTGTTGGGAACAGAATCTCTTCATGTTATAGTGAACTTCTCCTGGCTTTTTGCAGGGCCGTGTTCTTTTAAATGCCAGTTGTAGATTGGCTCCTGGGCTGCAGATGGGACGCGAGACCCCTCTGCTGATGAGTGATGCAGCAGAGGCACCGTCAGCAGCTGCCTGCACCTCCACGGCCCCTGGAGCCTGGCTGTGCCCTGGCTGTGGAGTGTGTCAGCAGCGTGACTGATATGCAGAGCCACCGCGGGAGGATGCCTGTCGGATTATTGTCATGCTGCCTCCTGCCAGGTGATCGTAGGGACGGTGCCACCAGCGCCGGGGAGAGCCCATTGTGGGGCCCTGAGCATTGCTGTAGGGCGAACGGGCCGGGGCAGAAGAAAGCGGCCTGCAGACAAGCTGGTGAATGATACTCTAATAATGATAACGCCAAGGATTAGGGCTTCTCTTCAATGTGCTGCTCGCAAGGGCTTCACAGCTGGAGGGAGGCGACGCTCTCCTACAAAGCAGTTTGGGTTGCAGGGTGCCGTGTTTTCTGCACGGAGTGTTTCTAAACCTCACTCTTTACGTTGTGATGGCTTTCAGGCTGAGTCACTCTTGCTTAGCTTATTCCGAAAGCCGCTTATGTGAAAAAAGTGCCTCTGTCATGTCAGTGACTTCTTTACCATCATGTTTACTCTGCTTAAAAGTCTCCTCGTGTTTTGAGATCTCTGAGTCAGCGTGGATGGAGCTCCTGTATTACTAGAAAGAAAAGCTGCAGGAGGCAGCTGGATGCAGCCTGCCAGCCCCAGACTGTCTGGATGAGTCGTCACGTATGAACTCACCCTAAATTCCAGGGAATTTTTATGTGCGAGAACGTAATTTGGCTCTAAATTCCCTTGGCTTTGGTAAACTACTCTGCAAACCACCCATGCTTCTTTATCATCTATTTATAGTCAACGCCTAAGCTCTCATTTCCTTTGCAAGGAGACAGTTGTTTTTTGTTATGTTTCCAGAATCCGCACTGATTGTCAGGTTAGGAAATTCTGCACTTCCAAAAGCAACATCTTATTGCTATGCTGGCTATCGTTTCTTATCTCTTCTAGGTGTTGTAAAAGTTGTTTCTTACTGGGTGGCATTCCTGTTGCAGTGCGAATGACGGCGATGTTTTGTACGTATTTAGTTTTGTGTCAGGCCTCATCTCTGTATGTGAGAAAATTCCCAGGGGTATTTAACATACGCGTGCGGATAAATCGCCTGCATGCCCCATAAAGTAGTTTACTATGGGCCAATATAAAGCAGTCATTACAGACTGAGGCTTAAACTTCTGAGTTGAACACAGTCTCTCAATTGCACTTACTTATTTTTATAATGTGTAATTTAGCAAACGAACTGTGGAAAGTTAGGGCATAGCAAGGCCTCT